AAGAAGAAAAAAGAAGAAAAGAAGAAAGGCGGTGGGGAAAAAGAGGAAAGGGGAGGGGGTAGAGATCTATTCAGCTGTCGAAACCAACAAACAAAACACAACAATTAATCAACTCAAGGGAAACCTGGGTTAGGCTAGAAACCCCTCACCCTAAGTGCGAGCAGAAGAAGAGCACTCATGTACAAATACAAACATATAAGGCAAATTATTAAACAAAAGACTGGGTCGTCGACGTATATGGTCATAGATTTGAAGGAGGTGGATTATTTTTACAAAGAACATAGAGAACGATGATGAAGAATAAGAAAAAGAAAAAAAAGAAGAAGAAAAGAAGGATAAAAGAAGAAGAATGGAAGAAGAAAAGGGGGGACCAACACCAGTGGATGGGGGAAAAAGGCTGATGTCCCTGCAGAGTAGAAGTCCTTTGCTTCTTCCCCGAACTAGAAGAAGAGGATTGACCTTCCTTCTTCTTGTCCTTGGCACCCGACTCCCGAATGTTCCTTGCATCAACCACCTCTCTCTCAATTTCCATTGCCGTCTTGACCATCGAGTCTAAATCTTGTAGGCAATGGCCCACAATCTTTTCCCGAATGGATAATTTCAAACCATCATCAAACCTCCTCACTTTGGCCATGTTTGTGGCCACATAATTATTGTCGAAACGGGCTAACTACTTGAACTTAGCCACGTATTCCATCGCCGTCATGGTCTCCTTCTTCAAATCTAAGAACTCCCAAGCTTTCGCATGTTGAATAGCTGTTGGAAAGTTACTTGTCCATAAAGAGCTCCCAAAATTCTCCCCATGTCATTACCTTTAAGTCTTTCGAGGTCTTTGTCCAATCCCACTACAAATGGGCTTCTCCTTCTAGATGGAATGCAGCTAGCTTGACCTTAGTAGCATCAGAAGTGATCTCCATTGCCTTTACTACCTCATTAACTTGCTGGAACCAATGGTCGGCCACCATTGGATCCGCCCCTCCCATGAAGGTCGGAGGCTTGTGTGCCTTAAACTTCTAGTGGTTACCTGTGTCTCGTTGGCCCACATTAGCACTAGCCTGTGCAAGGGTAACCGTCATCATGTCAATAGCCTCCATAAAGGCTTGTTGGTCAAAGGCCAGTGGTGGTTGGTTATTGTTCCGCCCACTGCCTCAGTCGCGTCCTCTTCCTCTATTTGTCATCTACACACATGTCAAATAGCAATAGAGCACTAAGTTAGTATCCCAAGATAGGGATCAAGTTCAAACTTGGAGATTTTTCTCCTTGTCTCACTAGTAGAGCACATGTCATCCACTAGTAGACATCTACACCATAAACCATCATGTTCATTCTTTTTTCGACCCCCAAGGTTATGTTCTCTAATCCTAGTGTCTATTTTTCATATACATTCACATAATATATAACACATAACATGTAGCATTTAAAACACATAACATGTAATGCACAATGGATTCAATGGTCTAAACCCATGCCCTGCAATCCCTAGGTAAATCATATACCTAAACTCTGATACCAAACTATGACGCTCCTAAAATCGGGGGTCCTTTGTCAACCTATTGATAACCTATCAACCTGTGAAAATACCCGTAAAGGCCGCATAACCTAACATCACGGAACAACATCCTCTTTATCGGGATCATAGACCACACAGAGCTTGGACAGAGTCTCCCTTATACCAGGCACTCCCAAACGGATAACTTGTTTATCATTCAATCACATAACCCTTCTAAGGTCCAATATATCTCAATTCATACTTAATTATTGTCCATTTAAAGCATTTGAACAAAAGAACTCAAGGCCTGAAAACATATCAAAAGCATTCTTCAAGTTTGAAATTTTAGAAGTTCGTTCAAACGTGGATTGTCGTTCGAACGAAGGTTGCTCCCAGTACTTTAGTTCTCAGTAGAGGCGCAAAAATACTATAAGCTCCTTACGTTCACACATGAAAGTGGAGTTCGAACGTGGAATGGTGTTCGAATGTGGAATGGTGTTCGAACTAAGGTTGCTCCCAATACTTTGGATCTCTGCAGAGTCTTAAGTACTGTAAGCTTCCTACGTTCGAACATGGACTGGCGTTCGAGTGTCATTTGCCTGTTTTCCTTCGATTCATTACTTTTTTAATTTCAATCCATTCCAAACTTACACGACATCATACCAAACTCATATAACATCAATTTAGACAAAATTATTGTTTATATAAGTTCTCTTTACAACCCTTTAAAATATTACATGTCAAAACTAAGTTTTCACAATGATTTTACAAAAGCACAAAATAAAGCCACATTTCAGCTTTTCTTCATCCTTGAGGCTACGAATGAGAGCCTTCCATTGGTGTGTACCCCGCACCTGAAATATTTTTTCATAAAAGGTGAGACACGCTCAATATGATATCTCTTAAAAAGGCTACTCCCCAACCTAGATGCATATAAAATGTTCATATGCACAATTCAACAAACAACAACGATTCCAAACAAGAACATGCAATTCAATGATGGAAATCACCATGTCATGCCATGAAATGAGATATGACTCACTCATGCACTTCAACCCCGAGCCTTTACTGACTCCTATAACATATGCAATGCCAATGTGTATGAAATTAGGCAATCCAAGCCCCTGCCATTAATGTTACACATCGAATGACTATTTTATAAAATAAAATTATGTGTCTTTGTTGGGTAGCAGAGTTTTACACTTGCACCGACAGAAATGTATAAATCAGTAACCGGATCTTGCACCCGAGGGAGGATCTAACCCTACTTACTATACCCGACACAAGTTTCTTTTTCATGCAACCGTGCGACTCTGTTGAACCTTGATCCAACTATACCAAGTCCACTTATCAATCACCAAGAATGGTGTTTGATCCAACAACATGCACACACACCTACACTCATGTCAATGCCCATGAATGCGATGTCTATGTGCATATGCAATGTAATCTACAATTGAGATACTAATTTCATGTTCAATATATTATGAGTACCATATGAACTATTTCAACCACATTTCAACATGTTCTGTGGCCAATTATAACATATGCATATAATTATCATAATCCATCATCAAGCATATATCAACATTTATACCCAACAACCAATTCCAAGCATATTATTACATAATTTATGCCAATAACACACTTAATTCACAAAGGCACAATATAAACACATAGCATACCCACATAACACCATTTTTCAAGAAATTACAAGCTAACAATTTCTAAATACCAATTAATGCTAGAATTTATTTTACCCATTTCATCAAATTAACCACCATAGACAAGTGTTATATATTGCTAACAACCTACTCATTTCATATCATAGCTTTATGTTGTAGATAAACCTAATCAGTGAGAAAACTCTACCTCTTGAAGCATAAAATCACTTGGCAGAAGCCTTCAAAAATCTCAAATCAAGCCCAAAACCCTTGATTTCTCCAAGCCCATTTTTTGAAATTTCACCCAAATCCATGCTTTCTAGTATGGTTACGTAACCCTCGACGAGAAGAACAACTTTTGGTCTTGACTTGACTCGATTTGAGTGACGAAACTCCGTATATCGTACAGAGATGGTGGAGCTTCCTTCTCTTATTTTCTCTCTTTCTCTATCGGGAAACACAACATAATTTCCCTTTTTATAATCTTTAGGCATTTGGTCCACACCACGCCACACGACCTCCATTCCCGGGTTTGATTTCGTCTCAAAACGATTAAATTTTATCTCGGTTTATGTTCAAATTATTCTTATTCGAACTAGTTTTAAATTATTTTCTAAATTTCAAAATTTTATTCCATATCTCGTTTTTAGGACACACAAGACCCGATTGCCTCATAAAATGCAAAAATATTGACTATCTCAAAATTTAACAAAAATTGACTAGGTAATAATATTTCGCTAGACAAATCCAACGGTGAGGTCTATTTCGTCATCCGAATTTTATAAAAATTCAGATTTTTAACCCACACCGAAGTGGAAATTTATAGTTTTGTCCTTTTTCATAAAAATTCAAATTATGCCGGGTTTTAAATATCTCCCCATTAATTTCCATACATTTTTGTCTCAGGAAGCAACATCATCTATTAGGTTGCCAATTGGCAGATTCTCATGTAATTATCATCATAACAACTCCTTCATAGCCCAAGACAGTATAGATGTGGTAGTTTTGTAATCTCATTATGTCGGCCGCTACATACTTGGGTAATAATATGATGCCCCCCAATTAACAAACCAGAGGAGTTAGAATAAATTGCAGAGAACAACAATATTGACACGCAATGGGCGTACAAAGCTATTTTCTCATAACATGCTCAATGTGATAAACCATGTTTAAAACAATTTCGGGCAAAGGAGTTCTATAATATATCCAATTCTGGGGAAAGTCCAATGAAAGAACCCGCAGTATAAATTAAATCCATGTATCTAAGAAATGGTGAATTCTTGATCTCTCTTTTTTGAAATTTTAGGAAATGAATTAAAGTCATTCTACTGAATCATCCTAGAAAGTCTTGCACTGATTTATCCCAAGTGGATCGATTTCTGCTATGCTAGTGGTATTGTAGAAGTGTCGAAGGCATCCACCTATACAGATTAGCTGGTTGTTACACCGAGTGACCTAGAGCTCATTTCTACGTACCTAGACTGTTGTTGCACCATACATGTTTGACTTGTTGATAATGTATTGTACGGTGTCAAGGGGTCTTCAAATATAACCTGGTAATTGTCACAAAGGTAAGTCCAACCTTGAGACTCTAAAGTGATCTTTCCATTATCCTTTCTTATTGTAACGTGGAATAAAAAAGTAGTCAAAGTATCTCTACCTGCAGGAGCAGAATTGGGATTTGAATTCTTATTATGATAATTTGTGAGTTCAGCGGCATGTCTACATATCTCTAGTGCACGAGTACATCTCCTAAATTAGCTGCCACCTGATATGATATTAAATATGCAAGGAGGGCGATCAAAACTCAAAAACCATTGAGAAGGAGAATTCATTAGCTATCTATCTTAGCAGATGAGTGTAAAAGTAAAATCAAGGGTATCTAAAATAGCATAAGAATCAACCTTTCTTGAAGCAAATTCTATAGCTTGTTTTTCAAATGCATCCATTCCTTTTAGACGACTTGAAATGATTTCTTGAAGTTGCTGATAATAATAGGGACCAAAGCACAGCCTGTATATGCCCTTATGGCATGAAATACAAGGAAGCAACTTCTCCGGAAAATCCATACTGTTTGCAATCTCTAAATTAATGTCATAAAAAATTAAGTTCAATTTGCACAAGTCATTATTCTGCTAGGAAGAAGATGTTACAAGAATAAATTCCTACCAATTACAATCAATTTGGAATGTGGCTTAGTAGGCCAATCAATAATGTTATACATAACCTGATACAGAAGAGGTTGTTGATAAATAACACTTTAATTTTGGAAATTTGATATTGATTTTGACTACTGATACTATTGCTCAGTAAAATGTCTAATTTAATTGATTGGTTTCGAGTTACAAGAAGATCAAGTTCATCAATGAACAGAATACAAGGCCGGTTGTCCTCCCTGTCAGTTTTGTTTCTATTTGAGAAACGCTCATTCAGCAATTGGAGAGCCTTTTTCCAACTAACCCTGTGTCCACTTAAAGCTTCATAAATAACCTGATAATGAATCCATAGATAGATGGGAAAATGAGTGCACGCTTTCAAAAATCATGACATAGACCACATTTACCGTGACTCCTTACCTTGTAAATGTTCTCTGGTGATGCAAATTTTAGACCATTAATCTCCACAAAGCAATAAGGGTTAATACTTCTTGCATCAACCTTAGACCTTAGACTCCTCATTACTGCAAGTACACCCATTGTTTGCAATTTGGCGAAAATAATGAAAAATAAAAAGAGTAAAATTTAACTAGCTAAAATATCAAGAAATGACCTATACGGCTATACCCTGTTTATCCAACCCCAATGGTTATATTTTCACAACTGATAGATTTTACCTTGCCAATACCAGGAACTCCATGAATGTACAAACATCATCCAAGGCATTGATCATCACATATGGCACCTTTTATAAAAGCAATTATCTTTTCCTTTTTCTCCGCAAAACAGAACATGCCCCTATTAGACGATGAACACAAAAAATCCTGAATTACACTTTTCAAGTCATGCGTAATTATTTCTACATGGAAGAAATCTGGGTAAAGTTGCCAACAATAGCGTTGCTTTTGCCTTTTCAAGTTCAGCCTGCTTGTGGCATCTCACATGTTCCAGGCTTTTCTTTGTCCTTATTTTTTGAATTCCAAAGATTTGCCCCTTTCGCGAGTTCTATAGCGTTAAAAAATGGTTAGACATCTTCTTCAAATAGCCACCAAACTATTAACCACATAATCTAATAAAGGAAAAGCCCATTCTACAGCCCACTGATGTGTGGGGAATTGACTAGCGACTAAATTCCTGCATTTCTCTTCATGTTCCATGTCTTCTATTTTAGAGTCATAATCCTTGCAAGAACTCCAATCTTCATCACTGTCAACTTCTTCATCATCCTACCAAATAAGACTGAGAATATAGATTACAAGAAAATGCCAATGACTTCCTTCCCCCAAATGCACTTAATTTTATGAGAACTTACCCCTTCACAATTGTCAATCTCTACAATACGCTTGAAAGTATGCCAATGTATGTCATATTCATATTCACATAAATAAACATCATCACCATTGCTTTCCTTGGCAAATTCTTTGGGATTCATAACATAACAATGCCTTATAAGAGACTCCATCTATAGAAAAAGAATTAACATAAATGGTTGAGGGAAGACAATAAAGCTCTTAAACAAAGTGTCACTGTAGGAAGTCACAGAATAATAAGCAACAAAGGATTCTGAGAGTGTGTTTGGTCCATCAAACAATTGGAAAGGACAGACAATTAAGTGAAGATTGCAAAGTTAAAAATGATACTCAATAAGCCTATAAATCAAGACATCTATAATCCAAACTCAATTTGCACTAACTGGAAATTTGATTCAATTACAAACCTAATTTATGTTATACTTTAAAAGTAGAATATTGGAGTAATAAAGCAAGTGATGATCCGGTGATACGAGTAAAGTAACTCGCAATTTTCATTATTTTTTGGGGCTCGTAATGATCCGGTGATACGAGTGCCAATGAACCATCGATGGGATGAATGCCCAATTTTTGTTTCGATGCATTGGAATTCTTGGTGGATTTCGGGTTATGAGTAACTAATTTTTTGTTGGTTTGGGAATTGAAGTGAAGGAATTTTAGGAGGGAAGATCTGGGTAAAGGCAGAACAAGGGAGGAGATGAGGAAAAAGGAGTGGCAGCGAGGGGTTGTAGGGATTAGAGTGGTTGGGTTAGGTGTAGGGGAACAATAGTGTGGGCTTTGTTGCTTGGGGTTCTTGTGATGAGGTGAAGATTGCTTTTATTTTGTCTTTGGGTTTCAGCCATTGAGGCGGAGGTGTGGTAGAGATTGTAGATGTGGGATGGAAGAGTGACAAAGATTACAGATGTGGGTGTCGAGATGAAGGAGCTAGAAAAGTGAGAGAGAATCGGAGGGAATTGGCAGGAAAACACCGTCAATTTGGCTGCTTTTTTTAAATAGAGGGACTATTGGGAGAGACGAGATAATGAACTACGGCTTGGGACCATGGGATTACAATATAATCACAGGCAAAGATCCACAACATTTATAATATAAAACAGGGTAGACTTCAATAAATCCATTTAACGGTCTCAAATAAACTCATCTAACGGTCATCAACATCTCTCTCAGAACAATTTATATTGAATCATACCTTCGGGTACGGGTTACTACTATTCGTGTGATATTCTCAAATCTACATTGTTTTGAGAACAAATCCAAACAATGTTTTTTGTTGTTGAAACGCAAACAACAACAATAACAAAATGAAGGTATGGGTGTCGATTTTTTATCCAAACAAACAGGACATCAATCCGAACATTAGAATGTTTGACATGAAAAATAGTAGAATTAAATGGTATGATCTTATTTTTTCTTGATTTGGTATTGCATCAATTGTCTTAGAATCAAAAATTTTAAATATAATTTCGCTAATATTTTAGATCAAATAGATTTTTAATTCATGAATTTAATTGAGAAAGAAAGGGATATTAGTTCTACAGTTTTTGGTTCACTATTTATTCGAAGATAACATTAACATAACATAACTAGAACATAAATAAGCAAGAAAGATAAGTCCAATATTATTTAAGGAATGACAGAGTATGACTTTGAAATCCCCTAAATGAAGGTTATTGTAAGTTTGAATTCAATTCTCTCTATTTCTCTCCTTTCAAGAACATGATTACGCTACAGTAACTGTGATGCCCCTAAAACAGGGGATCCTTTGTCAACTCGTTGATCATCCATCAACCCACAGAAGTACTCGTGTGTGTCATTTAACCCGACACCATGACATAACATCTCCATTACCGAGGTTACATTCGACACAGAGTTTGGACAGAGTCTCCCTTGTACCGGGCACTCCCAAATGCATAACCTATGTACATTATATCGATTGATCATTCAAAGGTCCCATATACATCAATTTATACTTATTATTACCCCCACGTACCTCCTTTGAGAAAAAGGAGTCGATACCCAGAGGTGTAGCAAAAGCATTTAAATTTGTTGAAATTTGGAGAAAACATACTGGTAGAAGGGCTCTAATTCCTACTGGTAGAAGGGTTCACTGGACTTAACTTTTCAAAAAATGAAGGAAACCTAACAGTAGAAGAAATCCATGTTCTACGGGTAGAAAAACCTTAGAAAAACCTTCTGGAATTCTTCTACTGGAAGAAAACTTGATGTTCTACCAGTAGAAGAACCTAGTGGAAATGTTCTACTGGTAGATCTCCCTAGTTTTTCACTAATTCCATCCTTTTTCAATTCCAATTCATTCCAACCTCATTCAACATCAATCTAAACTCATATAACATGAAATTTTATATTAAACACAGTTCATCCGAGTATAATTACAATCATTTACATACAATTACATGTCCAAAACTAAATTACATAATAGTTTTACAAAAATGGGATTTAAAAGCCACATTTCGGCTTTTCTTCATCAATGAGGGCCCAAATGAGAGCCGTCCACTAGCGTATGTCCCGCACCTAAAATATTGTCTTCATAAAGGGTGAGTCACGCCCAACAGGTTATCTCCAAAAGAGGTTACTCCCTAACCTAGACGTATATGAAATGTTCACATGCAATTCAACAAGCAATAAATAATACATTCAAGAATATGCAATTCATAATGGATCCCCTATGTCATGTCATGTTATGAGATGAGACTCACACATGCAATGCAACCCGAACCTTCATCGGCATCCTCAACACATGCAATGTCATGCGTATGAATCTAGGCATTCCAAGCCCCCATCATTGATGTTACACATCCAATGACCAGTTTAAAAATGAACCATGTGTCTTTCTTGGGTACACGGATTTTGATATCTCACCACTGGTTCCGCACACCGATATACTTTTTTGGACTTGCACGGACGAAAATGTATAAACCAATAGTCGGGTCTTGCATCCAACGGAGAATTTAGCCCTTCTTGCTATACCCAACACAAGTTTTTCATGCAACCGTGCAACTCAGCCAGACCTAGGTCCAACCTTCCCGAGTCCACGCCTTAACCACCAAGAATGGTGTTTGATCCAAAAACATGCACACACACACCCCCACACTCATGTCAAATATCCATGAATGTAATGTTTCTTGTGCATATGCAAATGTAATGTACACTTGTAATTGCATTATCATGTTCACATGTCATGAGCTCAATATGAATATTTAGATATCCATCAACATTTCTTTCCATTGTCAATTACATCATAACAATATGACTACCATCAATAACTCCAATGTCAATATATTATAATGCATATACCAACATCAAATCTCAAGCATAACATAATCAATACAAATAACACAGTTAATCCACATAGGCATTTTATCAAACACCTTCAGGGCATAAATGTAAACACATAGCATGTGCAATCAATACATTACTCAATAAATCACAAACAAGTAATTTCTAAATATCCAATTCATGCTAGAATTGATTTTAAGTATTCTCAATTCCCATTTCTCACATTTCAACTACCATAGGTATGAGCTATACATAAGATTACATCTCTAACACCCTACTCATTCCATATATCAACCCTAGGTTGGAAATAAACCTAAGTAGGAAAGTAACCCTTGATCTTAAAGCATAAAACAAGTGGTAGAAGTCTTCAAGAACCCAAATCAAGCCTTAGCCCTTGATTCCCCCAAATCCCATCTTTTGAACTTCGTCAAAATCCATGATTTTTGGTATGTAGGTGTAGCCCTTGTCGCATATATAAACTTTAGTTCTTGGACCGAAGGATTTCGACCAAGGGTTTGCTCTAGATCGTAGAGAAAAGATGGAAGAACCTTGGTTTTCTCCTTTCTCTCTCCCTCCTCTCTATTTTAAGAAAATCCAACTGAACAATATGGAGAAAATCTAATTTTCTCCCCTATTTATACTCCTTGGAATACTTGGCCCTCGTCATACCATATGTTCGCATTTCCCAGGTCCAGTTTCATTTCGAATCAATTAAATTTTATCCCAATTTATGTATCTCTTTGCACCCATTTATACTTGCTTTTGTGGTGAAAATGGGAGAAAATATATTTAAACTCACTTTTAATGGAGATTCATATGATTGTAGGTAAAGAACAGGTCAGGGCGTGTGTTAAGCCCCCCATCAAGTGCTCAAAGGCAATAGAGAAGAAAGGAAGGCTTAACGGATAGCTCAGGACATCAAGAGACCAAGAAAATGTCAAAACAGGAGAAAAGCTACTGGTAGAAGTTCATTAAAACCTACTAGTAGAAATCAGCAAAAACCTACCAGTAGAAGTTCCAAAACCTACCGATAGGTTTAGTCCAGTGGAATTTTTCTACCGCAGCCCCTGTCAAAACCTACCAGTAGATTTTGCTTACAGGAAAAAACCTACCAATAGGTTTTTGATCGTTCTACTAGTAGGTTTTGCCTAGAAATGCCAGAAGCCTGCAAACACGAATCCACCTACTTTAGGGGCCTACCTCTTGTCATCCCACACTTGCCCTGACATCTATGACACACCATGATGCTCTCTTACACCTAAAGTCTAATTTTTGAAGAGAAAGCACAGGAGAGGTATGAGAGAGAAGAAGGGTGGTTGGTGAAGGCATGGGAAGTGCATGTGTGGCTTGTCCTTGCTTATTGAAGTGTCTAATCCCTTCCCACTCATTGGAAGTCAGCTCACATAGACAATGAAAGGGGTATGGACGAATTTTGACCAGGCTACACATAATTATTCAATTTTTACACAAGTTTAAAGGGAGAAACTCAAGGAAGAAGATGAAGTTTTTAGAGAGAGAAAGTTAGATTTTCACAATTCCTCTACCATTTTCAGTCTAGTAAGCTTTGTAATACTTGTAATCTTTCTTTTTTTTCATTTTAAACTCTTCCATTCAAGTTGTAATCTAGCTTAATCAAGTGTTTTAGCATTTCACTTTTTACATTTGGGTTTTTTCCTTTTCAAGCTTGTAAGTTGGGTGTGAATGATATTGTTCTTGTAGTCTAAACATTTTCTAGCATCAATACAAGTTTCTTTCTTCATTTCATGATCATGTCTTTTTATATTATGTTTGTTCTTGCATCTACTATGACTAGCTAGACTTTTAGTTAGCTAATCCAAGGAAAATTTTCTCCTGG